ACAGCAGCAAAAACAGCACGTTTAATTCAACAAAACTAATGACAAACATTGGAAAAATAACTTTATCAAGCCTACAGCCTCAAACAAGGGACATTATTATTTATTATATCAGTATTCATGTTTATAAATAATAATTATTTAATGATATATAACATGACAATATTAATATTATTAAATGTATATTTTAAAGTAACTAAAGAACATTAATATTTGTATTAAAACAATAATATTAAACGATATTAATATTTTACAACAATTTAATAATATTAATATTTTAAAATATTTCAACAATTCTAATATCTTAATTATAACAATAATATTTTTACAGCTTATATTACACTAAAAATGATAATTGGGCCATCATTTACTCATCCTCATGTTCATCCAAATCTGTATGCATTTATTTCTGTGGAACACAAAATCACTTTTTTTTTCACAAATGAATGAATGAATGCAATTTGTGAAAGCGAATAAACATTTCTTGATGTCAGACCACATACTGTCAGAACAGATCAAATGATACTGCTTTACAAATGAACTTTGTCTTTGATGTGACTCAAATGATCCCATTTATATTCTGATTTCAATTGGATTTAGCATATTCTGTCTGATATGTCCTTTGAACTCAGATGAGTGCAGATATGAGCCGTCCAGAATACCCAGAATACACTGAGCAGCCAACAGCACGACTGAGATGACCACACACTCCTGCTTAAAGGAAAATACTGTCATCATTTACTCATGTCCTTCCAAGCCCGTATGACTTTATTTCTTTGTGGTTATTTCTTGTGTTAATTGCCAAATAATTAGAAAAGAAAAAGAGGATTATGGCTGTCAAGCTGCAAAAAAATGACCTAAAGGTGTCTTATACACTATATTTCAAATTTTACAAAGTCATATGACAGAAATTGTAATGATTGTTTCTTTAAAATCTTCTCCATCCACTGTAATGCATGTCAAACATAATCAAAAGTCTGGCATGAAGCGTCATTCGTTGAATAATGGCTTATAATGAATGATGAAGGCATTGTATGACTAAAGAAGACTTGGAATAAAATGTATGATATGAACTGATTTTATGACGCATTCATGGTGCTATTTTTTCTTTTTGAAGCCCAGCTACCATTATGAAAAACATCTTCTGCAAAACATCTTCTTTGGTGTTTCATTGGAGGAAGGAAGTATATGATGATTTTTGTTTTCAATTTCATTTCCGGGTCAATTCCTTGAATGAGAGTCCAAACAGCTGATGAAAACATCACAATAATCCACAAGTAATCCGCACCACTCCAGTCCATCAGTTAATGTCTTGAGAAGAGAAAAGCTGCGTGTTTGTAACAAACAAATCCATCATTAAGATGTTTTTAACTTTAAGCCATTGATTCGTCCAGCAATAACGTCGTCTGGTCTGAATCAGGAGAGAAATCTGCACAGATCAAGCACTGTTTACAAGCCAAAACAGTCCAGAACAGCTCTGAACAAACTCTACATGGCCTTAGCAAATGTTCAGTTTTTGGGGTGAATTATTCCTTTTAGTTAGTGGTATCAAATCTATTAAACCAGATGAAACAAGCACAACTATATATTTAGCCTTTTTGAGTTTAATTATGTCTGTGAAGCATTCTTAGTTTTTGACAGACAGTCATAGCAAAAAAGGTCTTCATGCATTCCTGCTAATTCTTCTGCCTTTCTAAGACGTTTACAGACCGATGCTGCTGTGAAATTCTAAAAACGAATAGACAAGAATAGACCGGAAAAAAAGAGACAGAAGCCTGCTGAGAGTCAACATTCCCATTTAGCATTAAACACACTCCAGTGTGTGGTTAGAGGACAGACATATGCTGGAAAACACACACACACGCACGCATGTTAACCAGCCCCCCGAGGATCCGTGTGCCCTTCAGGGGAACGACGGATGGGAGAATTAGGAGGAGACACATTTGATAAAATGGAGGCTGAGAGGAAAGAGGAAAATGGGATGAGAGAGAAACCGAGTCGACTTCCGGACACCCGGATTTAAACGCAGCATCCTTCAAAGCATTTGTTTTCACTGACATTCACACATAAAAATGCACATTTTTGTACTTCAGCTTAATGGCAATTGTAAGAGTCCATTTGAAAAAGATTGGAATTGGTGAAATATCTACACTATTAAAGTCACCTTTAATTCAATGTGCTACTTGCCATTTCTTTGTAATCATTTGTGCAATGTACAAGCAATTTCTAGATAAAAATGGTTTCACAATTTTTTCATTGTTCGACAATATAATGTAATTAAATATTAGAAATTATTATGAATGCACAGAACAAACAGTTACTTTCAAAAGACCATCAATGGAGTTTTTGTTTTTTTTTGCCTGCAAAATGATTTAGTCACAGCATTTTCTAAAATATCAATGCATCTGTAACTTCTATATATAAATGCTGTACATTTGACAAATATGCTTTTGAGACATACAAAATGCGCACTAATTATTTGTTGCAATCGATTTTATTTTAGGTTTGCATTTTAGAAGCTGTCAATATGTTGATACTTTATTTGTGTAAATAAAATACCTATGAATATTCATGAGATCACGTGGTCCCTAGGGGGGCGCATACAGACGGTTTCGAGTCTGTCATTTGGTTTGATGATGATGCAAACAATTGTAGCCTCCATTTGAAACAGACAAACACATCTGATCTGTGATCAGCAGTCAACATGGATTCATAAGTAGGTGTAGTGGTACAATTGTAGTGTATTGTTTGTTGGTGTGTTCTATGTTTACTTATTAGGATACGTGTTACAAACTTTGTACAGCACTTTGGCCAACAGTTGTTGTTTTTAAATGTGCTTTATAAATAAATGTGACCCTGGAGCACAAAAGCAGTCTTAAGTAGCTTGGGTATGTTTTTAGCAATAGCCAACAATACATTGTATGGGTCAAAATTATCGATTTTCTTTTATACCAAAAATCATTAGGATATTAAGTAAAGATCATGTTCCATGAAGATATTTTGTACATTTCCTACCATAAATATATCAAAACTTCATTTTTGATTAGTAATATGCATTGCTAGGAACTTCATTTGGACAACTTTAAAGATGATTTTCTCAATATTTAGATCTTTTTGCACCCTCAGATTCCAGATCTTCAAATAGTTGTATGTCGGCCAAAATATATGCTATCCTAACAAACCATACATCCATGCAAAGCTTATTTATTCAGCGTTCAGATGATGTATAAATCTAAATTTTGAAAAATTGACCCTTATGACTGGTTTTGTGGTCCGGGTCACAAATATGACTGACTGACTGGATTGCGATACAACTGTGCAAAATTTACTAAGTCACCTAAATATTTTGCTGTCAATCAGGACACTCACAGCCAATCAGAAACTCTCTGCTCTCCAAATATTGCTATGAAGTGCAAAATGATTTATGTTTAGACTATAAAAGAATGCTGCAAACAGACTTGGGCAATTTTCACGACCAACAAATGCCTGGTGCCATGAATTTAAAGGCAGTGTATTGATTTTGATCATTGTAGAGTCAATCATCACTACTAGAAGTTTAACATTTGTTCAAATCTTAACTTAAATCTCAGCTAATAACATCTGCAATTCTGTGCCATCAAAATCAAATCATCAAATTGTATCAAAGTAGAGGTGTACTGTTACTTCAATAAATTATTAGACTTACAATTTTCACCTGTACTCTCAGGACAAAAGGTACAAAAGCTGCTACTGGGATGACACCCTTTCAAAAGCTACACATTTTTACCTTTTTTTTTAACCCTTAAAAATTACATTTTAGTAGGGTCATATTTGTACCTAAAGTGTACATATTAGTATCTAAATGGCACATATTAGTTCCTTTTGAAAAGATACCGCTCAAGTGACAATTGTACCTTTTTTTCTGAGAGTGCGGGAAAATAAAATAGATGAAAAAAATCCCATAGACGCACACTGAAGGATGCTATTTTTACTTAGACCAATAGGAAACCATCTAGCAACCACCCAGCAAACCCTAGCAACACCCCGGCAACCAGAATACTCTCACAACCATTTAGTAATCTGATTACGTAACTCGCGTTACTTGTAATGCGTTACCCACAACACTGTATATTACTATGTATTTCATACAAACTTATTATAAATACTGCAAAATTAGTAAACGCGCATCAACAAAAGAACTTGAATTGGTACATAATAACCTAGCTGACGTTAAATAAATGTTGTGACAAAATGCTTTTGAAGTAATGTGCATGGAACGATCTTATAACTTTGTAAATATTTGATACATGTTCTCAAAACGTTGAGAAAACGTTCTTATAACAGCATCCTTATGACGATACTTGATGAACGTTCTAAGAACCTTTAAATATCGTTCTAATCACGTCAAGAAACATTTTAACGTTATCAGAATATTAAGAACATACGTTCAAATAACGTTACATTTGGGATTGAAATAAAGTTAGTAGAATTAGACAATTTTGCAACCTTTAAATAACGCTATAATAACGTTTCTATAACATAAACATGTTAGCTGGGAAAGAACAAATATGATCCTGGCACATCTTTGATAGATTTGATGAGATTCGCCCAGGCTGCTTCTCTAAGGCTCGGATCAGTTTTCTAATGATGATTACCGTCATAAATCATCACGGGACCGTTATCTGATCACAAGCAATCTCGAGCAACTATATCATTTAAATCAATAAATTCAATCCTAAAGCCCATCGTTCATTCTTATCGAACACAGCGATTTGTCAGACGCTCAAGATGAGAGGAAAATATTCTACTTAAACGTCTTTTGTGCCTATTTTAATTACACAGGCGCGTAAACACAGCGTAGAGAACAAAAGCATCAGCGTGTTGAAAATAATCGCGTTTAATCGCATTAAGAGCTTGTCGCGCCGCTGCCGCTGTGTGTTGTGTGTCTGATGTTCACACACATTCCCGTGTCGTTTCAGCGCTGTTGTTGCGTGTGTTTGATGGGAAGCGGGGAATAAGCTTACCGGTGGTAGATGAGGCCGGCTGAAGCGGTTCTGCGGCGGTCTGCTGTGCTTTCCTCGGAGGGTCGGGAGCTGTCCACCGCTCGTGGTGCTGAACGCTCAGTACTGGACAGCGGCAGCGCAGCAGCGCAGCAGCCGAGAACGGGACGATTCGAGCCGAACCGCGTCAGGCGCAGCGCCCGCCAGCGCTCAGGAGGAGCAACCGCGGCGCACTGCAATACTGACTCATTTCAGAACGAGCGACACCTGGGGCCAGTTCAAGCTCAAACCGGTGTGCACCGTTTTGCTACGGTTTCCAGTTTGACCGACATGTTTCCTGGAAACGGTGTGCAACAGTGTTTGAGATGCGTTTTCTCTAGTTTGGTGGGTGTGTCAAACATGTCAGCCCAATCAGCAGCAACATATATATAAACCACATGGTATTAAAGAGACAGCTAGCACAATGTAATTAACATCCAAATAAATTCACAAGAGCAAGTATTTTTTTAGTTTGCACATGTTTATTTACATCAAAGGCAAAATAACTAAAATAATAAGAGCACGAGTATAGATCTGGAACTTCTTTAAGTCTGTCTAAATGTCATTTAGTAATTGCAATGTCTTCTATTGTGTGCTAAATACTGATTAATGTAACATAAAAATACTATACATATTTATATATTTTGCTATTGTATTGTGGAGTGACACGTTAATAAACTTTTCTATACTCCTCTGATTATATAATGGTCAATATTACAATATCATAGCACGACAACAGTGATCAGCAATAATGATAAGCCTAATACTCACGATAAAAATAATAAGGTCATATAGATCATAACACAGTCTCGGAGGTAAGAAGTGGATTATCATTCATCCTGAAATGTTTGTCTTTTCATCCTGAAATGCGAGGCAAATGTTGGATCACAATAATTAGGAACCAGTTTCCACAAATCCCTTCATTTGATTGGGATGTTCTCTTTTATTCTGGAGGGCAAGGGCAGTGACTGTAACATCGAGCGTATTTTGCAGTATTAAACACACGTATTTATACCGATTTCATCAGGCTCCGCAAATTCTTCAGAAAGAACACAAAGAATGTCCTTCTCAGCTGTCATATTTGCAACTTTTGCGTCATCAGAACAGAGTTCAACGCACCACTGTTTCCGTTTAAAAAACGTTTTGCACCGTTTTTGTCGGGGCTGAACGCAGCCCTGGTGATGTAGTTTTATCACAGGAACATTTCTGTATCGTGAAAATAAATTAGAATACATAAAATGGTTCTTTTTATCAATGTTTGTTGCTGCTAGATATTTTGTAAACGTATCATTTTTTCAGGTTTCTTTGCTAAATAGGAAGTTCATAATATAATAATTAAGTATTATTTATTTAAATATTACTTACCGCACACTTTTGAATGGTATTTTTTCATAATAAAAAAAGTTTTCAACATTTATATAAAATTTTTTTTACTTGAGCAGAAAATCAGCACATTAGAATTTCTAGAAAACTCTAACCTGAAGATTCTGGTTTGACATCAGAAATAAATTACATTTTAAAATAAATCCATGTAGAAAACAGTTGTTTTAAATATAAATATATATGTATTTAACATTTGTTTGGTATTTTGTCTTATAATAACTTTTGAATGGTATTTCTGTTTCATAATAAAAATGTTTTCAACATTTATAATAAATAAACAAAATTTACTTCAAAATCAGCATATTAGAATGATTTCTAGAAGATTCTGGTTTGACATCAGAAATAAATTACATTTTAAAATGAATCTGTATAGAAGTTATTTTAAATTGCAATATTTCACAATATTATAAATATAAATATATATGTATTTCGTATTTGTTTGGTATTTTTCTTATAATAATCTTTGAATGGTATTTTTTCCATAATACATTTTTTTTTCAACATTTATAATAAAACAATTACTTGAGCAGAAAATCAGCATATTAGAATGATTTCTAGAAGATTCTAACCTGAAGATTCTTGGTTTGACATCAAAAATGAATTACATTTTAAAATAAATCCATATAGAAAAGTTATTTTCAATTGCAATAATATTTCACAATATTATATATATATATACAGTATGTCTTTAGTATTTGTTTGGTATTTTTCTCATAATAATTTTTGAAACAGAACTGCATGCTGGAGGAATGCAGTTTTTCTAATAATTTAAACATTTTAAAAGTGAAATGAAATAATTTACTTGTCTAAACCGGATTCTGTAGAAAGCGTCCAAATGGTCATTTCTTGGGTTTTACAATTTTACATTGTAACAATACATTTTCTGTAACATTTTAGTATAGACATTAAATCGTTACTTTTCATTCTAGTTCAATTTTACAGTATGCTAGATAATAGTTTACCTAACAGGGAAAAAACATGGGATTTGTGCATCTAATGCTTTACAAAATGGTACGGGACACCAAAGCTTACCATATGAGTGTGATTTGCCATTTGATCACTGTAAGACAAACACACTCGAAGAAAAACAGTCCGATCTTACATTTATTCCTGGGAGGAGTTTTTTAAAAGAGCAGCCAAACAGTCCAAAGCAGAAATTACATGTGGAAACATAAACAAGGCACAGAACGTTATAGATAATATGCCCCACTGTATCACACTCACACTGACTGATAGTTTTATGAGAATTACAAAACAATAACAACAACAAAATGTTTGCTGTGTCTTCATCAGTGAGGCGTTAAACGGCACGTGAACAATGAACTGAACTGAATACAATATACTGAACCCTCTGATCCGATAAACTGAGTTTCAATCTGGCTCACATCAATTCCTCTTTCTTCTCCGCATCAATTCTGATCATCATCTCGGTTTTCCTATAAATAATAAAAACTCAACTAAAGCTGTAGTCATTTTACCATCAATAAGCACTTGCGCATTTGTGGGAAAGAGCATTATTGGCTGCATTTGTGAGAGAGTAAAATGTCATTGGTCGTTGCTGCGGGACGAGTGTTCTGATTGGATGCGCATGTGGGTCGTGTGATTGGCTGTGGTTTTGCGAGCGTGTGCTGTCATTGGCTGTAGCTGTGGGATGAATGTCCGTGAGAGACGGCCTGGACGGCCTGTTCAGGAACCAGACTGGGGTCTGAGAGGATTGATGTGGAGGTGCAGAGCAGACGGAGGGAACTCAAAACAGCTGGAGAGAAACACAAGACATGGTAGAAGTATTACGATAAAACTGATAATATCTGATAGATCCGACTCGGTTTCTGATTGGATAAGCAGGTTCTGCCGTTGTAAGATGCAGATAAACACACACTGGTGATTTCGGGTGAATTCTGTATGACTGCCAAGTTGCTTGGCAGAAAAAAAAAAATTTGTTGTATTCAGCAAATACGCATTAAAAGGATTGAAAGTGACAGTAGAGACATATATAATTAAAGCATTTATAATTTCAATTTCAAATGCTGTTCTTTTGAACTTGCTATTCCTCAAAAACTAAATCCTAATCCTAAATTGCTATGCGAGTTATAACGTTTCTAAGATTTTCTATTCATTAAATAATCTTGAAAAGTAATGATGTAACTGGAGTAATGTTCACAGAAATAAATTAAATTTTACTATACATTCACATAGAAAACTGTTATTTCAATTTGCAATAATATTTCACAATATTACTGTATTTGTGATCAAATAAATGCAGCCTTGATGAGCAGAAGAGACAAAAAAAAAAAAAAGTACCATCCCCAAACTTTTGAATGATAGTGTATATATTGTTTTTTTTCATATCATAAGGTATAATTAACGCAATAATATAATAAATGTAACTATAAATCAATATTTTATCAGATGGCTGTTTCCACTTGCGGTTACAGCAAGTTTACCATGATTCTGTTTTCCATCATGCTTGAAAACACCCCTAAACCGTGGTAAAATCAAGGTGATACACCCCTTTGTAAAATGCTATGCAGTTCAAAATAAACAAATAAATAAACTTAAGAAGGCAGGGAGTGATTAATATGCCAGGATGCTGAAAAGAGGTTTGTTCGGAAAGGCAGTAAATGGTTCTGAGGTCGGAGGGAAGGTTCAAGAGAGGTGCTGCTCACTCACTGGGTCTGAGCGCGGGCAGAGAGCAGTGCTGGTCCAGCCAGGACAGAGTGCTGCGACACAGATCATCGACACTGGCTGTGGACACCATAGCGTTAAACGACTCAAACAGCGGCTCGATGAGGATGCTGAACTAAGAGAACGGCTTCAGTTGAGGAAAATATGAAGACGTGGAGGACTTGCATCTTAACAGAATGAATCATGCTAAAAGGACCAGCACAGATGTTGTGGATGCTGGTGTCTGCAAAAGCTTTGTCTTTTTCATGCACAGGTCAATTTTGAAGCTATTTTGCTTGCATGGCATGTCTTCTTTCAGACTAGTACTTTATATGCATTTAAGTGTTTGTTTTATTACACTTCATATATTTGCATCCAAAACTTCACAGTGGCATTCGTTCATAATTCACACTGATTGTATTCCTAAAAACATGGAGGAAATGTATGTCTTCTGGCTGTTGACATTTATTTTGTGATTTATGGAGTGATAAAAAAAATGTTCAAAATCCCTTTTGAATATATAAAAAAAATTTTGAACCTGTCCTATGCTCAGATTTCTGTTCTGGAAATGCATGCAAATGAGTGTATATTTAATTAGATGATGCATCATTTGAATCATTAAACTTGACATTTAAAAAAAAATTTTAATCAATTGTAGAAGTACGGTGATCTCTGTTAGTTCATTTC